CACAAAGACAAACAAGCAGACCAAATTCAAAAAGGCAGCATTTGCAAAATAGGACGTCTAAATATGAGCACAACAAAAATGACCTTTTATTTGTACTGATATTTTTCTTGATACTTTTTAAATACAAATTTGTATTGTTTCCTCAGTTCAAAATACTTTTTCCCACTGCACCACTTATATTGCTTCATAATACTTCTCAAATGTGGGAAATCTATACATTTTAGTATTTGCTTTTGCTACTTATTGTAAATAATCATTAGATATTTTTCACCAACTTTCAGAAAAAAGAACACAAAACCACTACTACCACCTGGATTTTTGTGTGTCCACAAGTCAAGGCTCAATTCTTTCTATAATAAGAAAATGGGAAATCATACTTTTTTATTTGTCTAGACATTCACCATTATGTATTAACACGATCATAAAGTGGACATTTATTGTTTATTGTTAGAGACTGAGATAAATAACCACAATCAACCATTAAAAATATCTGTAAATGGTGATCTCAGACTCTGGGTGATGAAGACTTTTGTGTTGTAAAGCCATGCAGACAAACTTGTGTACATTTCTTTGCAAAGTTAACAACCTTCAGAAATGAGACTATACATTGTCGGCTGGGATGCTGATTGATTTAAAATTACTGAGAGTTATGAGGTGCCAACAACAATCACTATCCTTTATGGTTCATTTTCACAAGCAAGGTTTGCAGTGGTGAGCACAGCTCTGCTAATCAGCTAATAGTTAATAGCAGAACCAACTTTTTGTTTAGCTTATTGGTGTTTTTCCTAACTTTGGTAAACATTGGTAAACCTTAGCTTCCTTTAAATTCAGTTCCAGCAATTAAAAGTATTCTAAGGGGAGATCTCCCTTTGTCAAACATTGGTAGRGATCATTTCCTGCAGTTGTGAAAATTCTTTCTATGAGAGTCATGTGTGCGCTGCAAAGGATTCTGAGTAAAACATGGAAAAAAAGAAATCTTCTTTGTAATGTACTTTTCAAATTTGTTTTGGCAGCTATGTTGAAGTCTGATATTGGCTGTAAACTGACTCCATGACTAAGAGGTTTCTCCCAGGAAGTATTTAATTCCTGTTGGGGGTGGATGAACAGGAAACAACTGTGTACATTGTAAAATGTCTACCATTAAAGTAAAACTATGGTTCTATACTGTCCTGATGCATCTCAGTAATCCAGGTAAAAAATCAAAAGGAAAAAAA